GTTGAAAGCAAAAAAGTTGCTGAAATATCTGAAAACGGTTGTAAGCAAAAGGTTGCTGAAAAATCTTTAAACCAGCGGTTGAAAGCAAAAAAGTTCTGAAAAATCTGAAAACCAGCGGTTGAAATCAGAAAAACTAGCGGCTGAACAAATTTTAAATTTGAGAAAAAAAGATGCATTTCTTATTCTGAACTGCGTAGAGTCTAGGCTAGATCTCAACCGCTGGTTCAACCGCTCCCGCTGAGTTTTTTTCTCCAAAGTATATATCATTCAATTTTAAGATGTAAAATTTACCTGGTTTGCCATCATGGCGAGCATTACATGTTGAGTAATAACAGCATTCTCAGCTAGGTTAGTCGTTACGTAGGTATACCGCCAGGTTAGGTTAGCTGGGGGCTCACTGTGTACCTAGAGATAACATGATTTAGGTTAGTTGTTACGTAGGTATACCGCCAGGTTAGGTTAGCTGGGGGCTCACTGTTTACCTAGAGATAACATGATTTAGGTTAGTGGTTATGTAGGTATATCTCCAGGTTAGGTTAGCTGGGGGCTCACTGTGTACCTAGAGATAACATGATTTAGGTTAGTTGTTACGTAGGTATACCTCCAGGTTAAGTTAGCTGGGGGCTCACTGTGTACCTAGAGATAACATGATTTAGGTTAGTCGTTACTTAGGTATACCTCCAGGTTAGGTTAGCCGGGGGCTCACAGTGTACCTAGAGATCACACGAATTAGGTTAGTCGTTACGTAGGTATATCTCCAGGTTAGGTTAGCTGGGGGCTCACTGTGTACCTAGAGATAACAAGATTTAGGTTAGTTGTTACGTAGGTATACCTCCAGGTTAGGTTAGCTGGGGTCTCACTGTGTACCTAGAGATAACATGATTTAGATTAGTCGTTACGTAGGTATACCTCCAGGTTAGGTTAGCTGAGGGCTCACTATGTACCTAGAGATAACATGATTTAGGTTAGTTGTTAAGTAGGTATACCTCCAGGTTAGGTTAACCGGGGGCTCACTATTTACCTAGAGATAACATGATTTAGGTTAGTTGTTACGTAGGTATATCTCCAGGTTAGGTTAGCTGGGGGCTCACTGTGTACCTAAAGATAACATGATTTAGGTTAGTCATTACGTAGGTATACCTCCAGGTTAGGTTAGCTGGGGGCTCACCGTGCACCTATAGATAACATGATTTAGGTTAGTCGTTACTTAGGTATACCTCCAGGTTAGGTTAGCCGGAGGCTCACTGTGTACCTATAGATAGCATGATTTAGGTTAGTCGTTACGTAGGTATATCTCCAGGTTAGGAGCCCCCAGCTACTCACAGTGTACCTAGAGATAACATGATTTAGGTTAGTCTTTAGTCTTTACGTAGGTATACCTCCAGGTTAGGTTAGCTGAGGGCTCACTGTGTACCTAAAGATAAAATGATTTAGGTTAGTCTTTACGTAGGTATATCTCCAGGTTAGGTTAGCTGGGTGCTCACTGTCTACCTAGAGATAACAAGATTTAAGTTAGTTGTTACGTAGGTTAGGTTAGGTTAGCTGTGAACTCACTTTGTAGCTAGAGATAACATTGGCTAGGTTAGCTGTTACGAAGGTTTACCTCAGCCGATTAGATTGAATTTGATTTGATTAGAATGAAAAATTTAAATACACTAATAATATGAGGATTGAAAATAAAATGAGAGTAAAACGGTTTGTTCTTAAATAGCCTAAAATGCTCAATATTTTGTAAAATAGTCAATTAGAGTTTCTAAAATGTTCACAGCAATATTCAATGATATTTATGAGTAATTATTCTCAGATATTCTGAAATAATCTAAATTATTCTAAAATTTTCTAATATATTCTTAAACATTCTAAAATATAAATTTCTGTATACGCCTTTGCGCTTATTTGTCCAATAACATGTTTTTCAACGAACTAATTATTAACTTAATAAAACTTATTTTGAGAATTTTACCATCTTTAGGATATGAATTTAAAAAAGGTATTTGCATATTGTATATAAAATATTACTACCTGGAAGGTAACATCGACCGGCGCGTGACAATGATTGACCCTGGCGAAGGCTGTGACCGGTACTCCACCTATATTTATTCTTTAATAACAAAGGTTATAAATCTTGTTATGATTATTTTTTATTGCAAAATATCGTAAAGTAGGTAGATAATAAATTGAGACTTTGCAAAAGAACGAAAGTCATTTGATAATTTATCTACACATCCTCCCCCCTCCCCCGGCTTATTATCAGTGCTAAGGATCCGGATCTGCACTTAATGAAACGGATGGAAACTAAGCATTGCCGTTTTCATACAAAAACTGCAATCATCATGACAAGATTCACAAAATATGGAAAATATTGGAAAGATTTATTTGATCAATCTGTGTTAGACATCCATTACTTAATTCAACTCATTCAAATATCAGGGGCGTACAAGGGGGGGCGGGGCACCCATATAAAAAATAATTTAAATCTCACTTTTTCCCTTAACTAAAGAAGTTTCACTTAAAAAGCTTTAATCAATACTGCCTTCAGTGTAAATATATTTTTGATATCATTTATTTATAATTATACTATATGTACCATTTTTATGAAAATATAGATATTTTTAAAAAACGTTTTCATCTCTATTTTTTATCCATTGAAGCTTATACCACACTAATAAGAGGAAGTGTCTGATGAGTGAGATGAGTCCACTTAAGAAAATTACATAAATAATTTATTTACACTTGTTATATATTAGTTTGTATATGATCGAATAGTTTACGTAGTAAAAAGGTATCAATTTTTTTCAAAAAAGGGGCTTTTAAGGGGGGCACAATATTGCCAAGAGGGGCACAAAACTTTTTTTTTGCGTGCTGACAAGCGCAAAATGTGACCCCCCCCTTGCACAAATGCTCTCGCACTGTTAACCATAACATCTAATGTTTCATTACAGTATTATTAATCTATTCAGAGATGGGAACTTTTGAATGGGATATCCTTAATCCTGATCGGATAATTAATCTGGAGATTAAAAATGAGTGAAGAACAAGCAATATTTAATCTGCAGATTAAGAAAAAGAGTGGATTAAGCCTTAATCCCGATGGATAAACTTTAATCCTAACTTCTTGATCCAAATATCCACTGTGGAAACTTTTCATTTTAGTCCTTAATCCACTCTTATTCTCTCTCCTTGGATATCCGTTAATTGTTTTCTCCAATGAGTGTAAGATCTGAGGATCTTTATAAACTAATGTGTGTTCAGGGTATTCAGCGACAAGACGTTACTCATTGTGTTCAACCAGGAATTCTCTACAAACAATCGATCAATCACACAGAACTCTACATGGACAAATTTTTACTAATCAATCACGTGTTCAATTCAATAATTAATTGAGATTTTTAATATATAACTATTTAAAGGCCAATTTTTATAATGAATAACCTGATTTTATTTTATAATGCAGAACCTGAGTTTTATGGTTAAAATGTTTTATGATTTAACATATATGTATAATATTTAGCCAAAACATATATATTGTCTCGCCAAAGCCTAATTAAAAATCTAGCCTAAGCCTCAAAAAACTGTAAATAATGAGTTTTATCTTTCAGAACACAATGGGTTAGTTGCCCCCTTCTAACCTGAAATTGTGTCTCTTTCTCCAGGTCTATAAATCATCCGTAATAAATACCAAGGCTAATAAACGTTGAATGCTCTTTACACAACGTTGCAGAGTTTTATTCCTACGGATGGTTTATAGAATATATGTAGATAATTGTGATTGTTGTGATTCCTCTAAATAGTTCCGGGCTCGTATCCGTGCTTTAAACCAGGTGAAAAATTTGCAAATGTCTAAAATGAGCTTAAATAATATCCTGACTTCTCACAAATCTCTCAACATAATTCTCATGCTAGGCTGGCACGAGTCCCGTTGATATACAACCTCGACTTGCTCCGCTGACTCGCGGAGAAGTTCTTAACTCCTGAGATGGTTCCTTCTCTTCTACTCTGAGATGGTTCAGTTCTCTTCTACGTTCCTTCTTTTCTACTCTGAGATGGTTCAGTTCTCTTCTACTCCCACCTACTAATCTTGACATCCTGAGTCTAAGGAAGTCTATATAAAGGTGAGGATCAAAGCTCACAACCTTTGAGCTCTGGAACTCGGTCTAATTAGTTCTATTTAGACCTCCGTTGTCAAGACTCCGACATCACCGGAAGCTGAGTCATCCTTGTTCTCTGGATCCTCAGCTTGTGCTCCAGAATATCCTGCTGGTGCTCTAGAGACCCATATACCTCTACGAAATAGTTAACCTGGAGAAAGTTTTATTTTAAAAGGCTAAAATTTTATTATTGTCATGCAAATAATTAACCCTGGACTGATTTATTGTGTTTTCAGTTCACGGTTGAGTCCTGTATAAACTGCCTACCTGAAATATATACATAAGATTTAATCAGTTCAAATAGAGGTGAGCCGAAGAGAAAGAGTTCATGCTCGCTCTTATGTTTGTAGTTATTACCTGGTCTCCTATAGGTAAAAATGAGCACAATGAGAATATTTCTGTTCTCTCATTGGTTGCCCGCTTTTCTCTGATTGGCTGCTACAGTTTCTCAGATGATTGAATATTAATTTGAATTTTATCGTTTTTCATACACTTTTAAGATAATCTTGCAAGATTATGTTAATCTGGAGATTAAGAAAAAGAGTGGATTAAGCCTTAATCCCGATATCCACCATTCAAAAGTTCCCAGCTCTGACCAGATTGACTTTAAACCGCTGCTAGGCCTTTGCTATTGGTTTGTCGAGTTTGTGAATACGAACCCACCACATACATATTTGTTTCTCTGGACATAAAGATTACATTTTTTACATATAGTTTACATATAGTTAAAGATTATTTTGGGGAATTTATTTTTCCATCCAGAATGGCAAGTTTTAGTTCAAACTGAAGCAATTGATAAATCAATCTTACCTAGTTCCATTTCACAAGATGCAATCAGACCTACAAACTCGCATAGTCCTGGTTTACAAAAAAAAAGTGTGAATAAGGAAATTTTTATTTATTTCATGAGAAATGTTTATTGTTTGTAATCTAGTTCAATAATATTTCCAATTTTCGTGCTTGTGTATACTATACCGTATTAAGTATTATACTTTAGTTTAGTATTTTGTTCGATGAGTCCGATTCAGCTAAAGTCTTAATATTTTAATTAATTACATCCTTAAGTTCTGTATTCCAGTTCTATGATACAAATTAATCAGTTTTGTATTCTATATTGGTAAGTTTTATATTCCATTGATACGTTCTGTGTTCCATATAAATAAGTCATATTTTCACATATCAGTAAGATCTGTACTCCCTATCTAAAAGTTCTGTACTCCATATCTATAAATTATGTACTCCATATCTATAAATTATGTACTCCATATCTATAAATTATGTACTCCATATCTATAAATTATGTACTCCATATCTATGAATTATGTACTCCATATTATAATTTCTGTACACCATATCTACAAGTTCTTTACTCCATATCTACAAGTTCTGTACTCCATATCTTTAAATTATGTGCTCCATATCTATAAATTATGTACTCCATATCTCTAATTTCTGTACTCCATATCTACAAGTTCTTTACTCCATGTCTATAAGTTCTGTACTCCATATCAATGAGTTCTATACTTCTTACATATAAGTTCTGTACTCCATATCTATGAGTTCTGTACTCCTTATCTATAAGTTCTATACTCCATATATTTAAGTTCTGTACCCCTTATCTATGAGTTCTGTACTCCTTATCTATGAGTTCTGTACTCCATATCTATAAGTTCTGTACTCCATATTAATAAGATAGTTCTGTGTTCGAACCTGCTATATTGTGGACTAGAAGAAGAATTAAAATAAATGAGCCTCCCATATTCTTTAATCAATCCTTTATCTGCTGGATGCAATCTTCATATACGCTGGTAACATTAGGGTCCACCTGGACACGCAGTACTTTCTATTGTCTGAAAATTCACAGGTTTTAATACTAATAACTTCTATTACTGGGTGTCTCAATTAACATAGGAATTAAGAGACTTAAAGGGACTGTCTTTGTAATTTGAAGTAGCCTTCATTTTAATTTGCAACTATAGCTATTTAGTAAACAACAAAACAGTTATCTAATGAATAAGATGGAAGAAATCGTAGATTTTATGACTTATGAAGTATTAAATTGAAAGAATTTCCCCGTTTTTCTGTAGCATAAATGCGTAATCCAGGTTTAAAGAGAAAAACATAGCTATCGTCTAAAGTCCCTTTACATATTGTTTTTGATTGGGAATTTATACTAAATGACAAAAGAAGGTTGTACATTTTTTAATGTTTAAAAGTATCCTGTTTTTCTGATTTGTTTCTTTAAGATCTATTTTCATGAACACATTAAATTAAGTATTAAGACCAATTTATGTCATATTTGATAAATCAAAATTAGGACAAATAAACTTATATGATCAACGTTAACGTTAAAATGAACGCAAAAGGCAGTCCACAGTTTGGAAATCTAAAAATAACAATTCTAGTAAAGTTTTAAATAAAAGAGACGAATTCAAATTCATCCCTGAATTTACATATTTCTCGGAAAACGATGATTTTTTCGTGTTAATAAATATATTGATGTATATTCAATTTATTATTCAATCAAAAAAACAGATAAACATATTGATATATATGTTTTCAAATATCGATAGAATATCTTCAATATTAAGAAAAACTAGTTCTAGTGATTTGAACGATGTAAACACTGTAGCGTAAATATGGTTGTAGCAGGTAGCTTTCCCCTACCTGCCTTCTACCCAACTCAACCACTTGGTTTGATTATGTGAATTTTATAGAAAAACGTTGAATCTCCCCTTGCTCTTCCTCCCATTTTTGAGAAACAAACAATACAATATTGACATGCAACAATTTTACTTATTCAAAACTCAAATATTTAAAACATTATTTATAATTCAAAAAACATCGCTAGTGTAAATACAGAGATAACCACAAATATTCAGACTTTCAGGACGACCTCAATTGCTTTAATAACATAACATGTACGTTGTTAAATTTAATTTTTTGCGCGTTTAAATTAAATATAATTTTAGCAGGCTCTAAAATGGTTGGAAAGTTCAAAGCAAGTTTATGGCTTCAGAGAATTTACAAAATGTATTTATATGTAAAAATAAACAGTTTTTTTTCTTCATAAAATGTTTAATATATATTTTAAAATGCTGATATAAGAAGTTGTGATCGATAAAAGCACTATTGTTCAGAAGCATGGAAGACTTTGAAAATGACAAACTTGAATTGGTCAAATTTATCAGTCAGTTTTTCAGTCCAAATTTCAAGTCACTCTTCATCTGTACAGAGCTAGACAATAGACTTAAACATTACAAAACGTGTTTTCAAGGAAATTGAGCTTTTCCCCCAGGCTTCAATTTTATAATCCCTATATCTTTGCAACCCATTGTCATAGACTTTTGATTTTTCATACTAAGAATTCTGATAAATCAATCTAAGTTCGAAATATAATTGGGTTACGCCATGAGATTATAAAGATAAATGGATTATAGAAATGTGTGTTTGTTGCAAAAACTCAGTTCCTTTGATTACAAATAAAGAATTAAAGGGAACTGTTGTAAATCGAACATGCCCCTATTTTCTAAATGTATATGTTCATATAAAGATCGACAGTTAACCTTCAAGAATGTTTATAAAATAGGATGAATGATGATTTTTCATACCTGTAATAGGCTTTATGTTATCACTAATTGATAGTTTCACTTCTCAGCTGTATTTTAGTCGTGCAGGTTCAGTGTTCAGTATGTATAGACCTGGAATTTAAAAAATACCCAAATGAAGGTTTAATTCTGTTTTCTGCAGACAAATAAATATAACTTTACTTTTAAACAACGTATTTCTATCAGATTTAGAGAATTGAATCGAATAAATGCTATGCGTATAATTACTCTCATAATTACTATAATTTATTTATGAATTTTCATGATCGCCTTGAAACTTGACTTGAGCTATAAGTAATAAAATTAGAAGAATTTTTAAATTTTTAAAATTATTTTTTTTTAATAAAGCGTCACTGTTTGATTTTTCTGGCTTGATTTATTGCTGAAAATGTAATGATATACATTGTAGTACAGAGACGACTGTACGAAATTACCATGTGTGTTTAATTATATTTACGACACATTAGTTTTATATAAGCAATTAAAAGATTAATATTAAGACAGAAAAAATAATTTCACCTTGGGGTCGTCATACTACTACAAGTAGGCGATTATATCAATACAATGAAGACGACATTTTTATTTAAGTTTTCATTGAATTGTTTTTTTTTCAATTTATACAAGTTTACTAAGTAAACGATGAGAAACTTTTTTAATTTATAGTTTCTCTTGACTTCTTTAAGTTCATGCTTATCTATGCTATTTAACAGCTTGATATTATAAATCAAAATTGAAATCTAAAGTCGATCTTTTCCCTGAATTTGATTTTTTTTTATGGAAAAAGGAAAATTTTCATAATTCGGTTTTTTAGTTCAAATTGGAAGACAGAAAATGTTGATAATTTTGATATTACTACCCACATTCACTGATTTTAAATTGTCCCGACAAAATATTAAAACTGATGCAATGTTTCTGCAAAATTTAAAGAATTGATTTTTTGATACATTATAGTACTTATGGAACTTTGTTACATTGCATGTATATTGTGGTTCACGTATGTATATCGACAAAGCGAAAGAACAACAAACCAGTTCACTCTGAAAATCTTACCTCAGGACAGATATTTTTCAAAGAAGGTTTAATTTGGTTGGTCTGAGGGAACAGCTTCATATAGTAAAGAATTTTTCAGCCATTGCATATACATACAGTATAACAGGATGATAAAAAAGAAAACTTTTAGATTATACCAAGCAACTTATCTAATAAAGGAGGGGAGGGGGGCATGCAAATTCGTCATTGAACCCCCCCCCCCCTTACGGAGAAAGGGCATGCATTTGACCCCTTGAAGGCCCCCCTTTGGTTATGGGCCTGAATTGAATATGCATTGAGATGTAATACCCAAAGATCGCAAATCTTGAGCGTAAAGGGGGCACAATGCACCGGCTGTACCCCCCCCCACGTTTTACAGGTACATCTGCAGACCTATCCTATCGCTTTTACCCTGCCCCTCGAGACATGAATATATTGTGAATTTATCAAGGAGTATATAAAATACTCCATGACTCCATACTCCATACTCCTGGGTGAATGCTTCATAAGTTTATAAAAAAAAATTGTTCCTAGCCCCCTCCGGCTCCCCGTCCTATGTAAAATTAAGGAAGGGTAAAGGCCCTTCCCCCACTCCCCCTCCCTGCTGTAAGGTAAGTGTTCACTGTTCCTTATCCTAAGGATCCGAAAAAACCTAACACCATAACTAAATTTGAATTTCGCGCAAATTTCGTCCTCACTTCACCCTTACTAATCTAGCCAATGAGAGAACGTTTTTATTGATTTTTAACCAATGGTGATCTCGATTATCCGAATCTTGTGATGAAGATTTCAGAAACCGGTTATTTCTATTGAAACTGTGATGATTTCGGTGGAAAGGCATGGCGAAATGCGACAAGGGACAAAATGGGTAATGTTGATCCGCTCTACTGCCCATCCGTTCTATTGCCCATCCGCTATACTGCCCATCCGACCTACTGCAACATCTGACCTACGACAGCTGTAGGTCGGATGGGCATATCTTCTTGCCCATCCGACCTACATTCAGCAGCTTTTGTAGCATGACGGCCACTCAGTTTTGTAGGTCGGATGGGCACTTTTCGTAGGTCGGATGGGCATTTTTCGTAGGTCGGATGGGCACTTTTCGTAGGTCGGATGGGCACTT